GCAGTGATGTCCAAGGACTGTTGTGATGTCCGAGAACTGTAGTGATGTCCTAAGACTGCAGTGATGTCCCACGACTGTACATAGTGATGTCCGAGGACTGTAGTGATGTGCTAAGACTGCAGGGATGTCCGAGGACTGCAGTGATGTCCGAGGACTGTAGTGATGTCCGAGGAGTGAAGTGATGTCCTAAGATTGTAGTAATGTCCGAGGACTGCAGTGATGTCCGAGGACTGTAGTGATGTCCGAGGACTGTAGTGATGTCCGAGGACTGTAGTGATGTCCGAGGACTGCAGTGATGTCCGAGAACTGTAGTGATGTCCTAAGGCTGTAGTGATATCCCAGGACTGTACATAGTGATGTCCGAGGACTGTAGTGATGTGCTAAGACTGCAGGGATGTCCGAGGACTGCAGTGATGTCCGAGGACTGTAGTGATGTCCGAGGAGTGAAGTGATGTCCTAAGATTGTAGTAATGTCCGAGGACTGCAGTGATGTCCGAGGACTGTAGTGATGTCCGAGGACTGTAGTGATGTCCGAGGACTGTAGTGATGTCCGAGGACTGCAGTGATGTCCGAGAACTGTAGTGATGTCCTAAGGCTGTAGTGATGTCCCAGGACTGTACATAGTGATGTCCGAGGACTGTAGGGATGTCCGAGGACTGTAGTGATGTCCGAGGACTGTAGTGATATCCTAAGACTTTAGTGATGTCCGAGGACTGCAGTGATGTCCTAAGACTGCAGTGATGTCCGAGGACTGTAGTAATGTCCGAGGACTGCAGTGCTGTCCCAAGACTGTAGTGATGTCCTAAGACTGTAGTAATGTCCGAGAACTGCAGTGATGTTCGAGGGCTGTAGTGATGTCCCACGACTGTAGTGTTGTCTTTAGACTCTAGTAATGTCCTAAGACTGTAGTGATGTCCTAAGGCTGTAGTAATGACCGAGAACTGTAGCGATGTCTTAAGGCTGTAGTGATGTCCGAGAACTGTAGTGATGTCCTAAGACGGTAGTAATGTCCCATGACTGTTGTGATGTCCCACGACTGTAGTGATGTCCTAAGACTGTAGTTATGTCCCACGACTGTAGTAATGTCCCACGACTGTAGTAATGTCTTAAGGCTGTAGTGATGTAAGAGAACTGTAGTGATGTCTTAAGGCTGTAGTGATGTCCGAGAACTGTAGTGATGTCCTAAGACTGTAGTTATGTCCGAAGACTGCAGTGATGTTCGAGGACTGTAGTGATGTCCGAGGACTGTAGTGATGTCCGAGGACTGCAGTGATGTCCGAGAACTGTAGTGATGTCCTAAGACTGCAGTGATGTCCCAGGACTGTACATAGTGATGTCCGAGGACTGTAGTGATGTCCGAGGACTGTAGTGATGTCCTAAGACTGTAGTAATGTCCGAGGACTGTAGTGATATCCTAAGACTGTAGTAATGTCCCAAGACTGCAGTGATGTCCGAGGACTGTAGTGATGTCCGAGGACTGTAGTGATGTCCGAGGACTGTAGTGATGTCCGAGGACTATAGTGATGTTCTGAGACTGCAGTGATGTCCCACGACTGTAGTGATGTCCTACGACTGTGGTGATGTCCTAAGACTGTAGTAATGTCCCACGACTGTATTGATGTCTTAAGGCTGTAGTGATGTCCGAGAACTGTAGTGATGTCTTAAGGCTGTAGTGATGTCCCACGACTGAAACGATGTCCTAAGACTGTAGTAATGTCCGAGGACTGTAGTAATGTCCCACGACTGTAGTAATGTCCGAGAACTGCAGTGATGTCCGAGGACTGTAGTGATGTCCGAGAACTGTAGTGATATCCTAAGACTGTAGTAACGTCCCACGACTGTAGTGATGTCCCAGGACTGTAGTGATATCTCCCAGTTCCTCGGAAGGTTACAAGGGAGATAATACGGTCACAATTAATCATACACTACACAAACTCTGAAGTTCACGTGTTTACCGAATCGATTTTGACTCTGCTTGGGGAGCGCAGGTGCGAGTTGAGGTCCACGTGAAACTCTGTTACAATCTCCCACCCAAGTCAGTGGCGTGGAAAACAGCACGTATTGAGATACTGTTGACAAATTGCCTAGCTTTTAATGGATCTTAGAGAACATTCGACTCAGTTTTCCCTTATTACCTGAGTCTGGTTTATTAGTTACGATAGAAGGTATCAACTACAGGTTCATCGAGGCCTCCGTAATCAACTTGTTTATCTGCATTTCACCCATCATAGAACAAACGAACATGGCAGTGCCAATAAACAGCGGCGTGGAAGTATTAATATGATAACATTAGTGACCCCGGCCCTAAGACACTGGCGGATGGATATAGCGGGGCAGGTTGGTTCAACTATCTATCATCTGTATGTTTTTGCAAGACATTTAAAGCGGCGCTTGGCGCTGTGTCCACCTGACTGGCACGGTTCTGTTCTCGTGTGTCGGCCCCCCTCAACAACTGCTGCACAAACACACGGGGAGAGGGGCGGCCATATGTTGTGGGGCTAGAGCTACCTGATACTCGCCAGACTTCCCAATGATAACTTTACAAAACATCAAACGAAATACGACCGCAACTATTTCCAAAGATTCGCTAAATATCTAAAGAAGTTTTTTTTCTAAAAAGCAAATATAGTTTTTATCAAATGGAAATGTTTTATTCTGTTACGGAGGCCTTTGTAGTGACTTAATTAGCTCATGTTCGGAATCAGCGGACTGTGTTTCACGACGCACCGTGTGAAGACAAGACATGCAGACGTCTTCAACACTCCACCACTGAACGGAGAAAACCGTATAACGACTGATGCAGCCTGCCTGTAGTCCTGGAGGAGATGGGATCACAGCCTTGCTTGATCGTCGTCTTGTCTCAGAGTGGAACGTCACACCAACAAGGGGAGACAACTCATGGTAGTGATCGACTCCGTCCCGTGTGGAGATATAGACCTACGTTCACACAAGATGGGAAGGTGCGTTCAGCGAGGGTATATCCAGCGAGGTTATGTCTGGCGCATGTTAGGAAACATCACTAACAACACAGTGACGGCTCTCAACAACGCTGGACAAAACATCACCAACAACATAGTGACGGCTCTCAACAACGCTGGACAAAACATCACCAACGACATAGTGACGTCTCTCAACAAACGCTGGACAAAACATCACCAACAACACAGTGACGTCTCTCAAAAAACGCTGGACAAAACATCACTAACAACACAGTGACGGCTCTCAACAACGCTGGAGAAAACATCACTAACAACACAGTGACGGCTCTTAACAACGCTGGACAAAACATCACTAACAACACAGTGACGGCTCTCAACAACGCTGGACAAAACATCACCAACAACATAGTGACGTCTCTCAAAAAACGCTGGACAAAACATCACTCACAACACAGTGACGGCTCTCAACAACGATGGACAAAATATCACTAACAACACAGTGACGGCTCTTAATAACGCTGGACAAAACATCACCAACAACACAGTGACGTCTCTCAACAACGCTGGAGAAACCATCACTAACAACACAGTGACGGCTCTCATCAAAGGCTACACGAAACATCACTAACAACACAGTGACTTCTCTCAACAAACACTGGACAAAACATCACCAACAACACAGTGACGTCTTTCAACAAACGCTGGACAAAACATCACCAACAACACAGTGACGTCTTTCAACAAACGCTGGACAAAACATCACTAACAACACAGTGACGTCTTTCAACAAACGCTGGACAAAACATCACCAACAACACAGTGACGTCTTTCAACAAACGCTGGACAAAACATCACCAACAACACAGTGACGTCTCTCAACAAACACTGGACAAAACATCACCAACAACACAGTGACGTCTTTCAACAAACGCTGGACAAAACATCACTAACAACACAGTGACGTCTCTCAACAACGCTGGACAAAACATCACTTACAACACAGTGACGGCTCTCAACAACGCTGGACAAAACATCACTAACAACACAGTGACGGCTCTCAACAACGCTGGAGAAAACATCACTAACAACACAGTGTCGTCTATCATCAAACGCTGCACACAACATCACCAACAACACAGTGACGTCTCTCAACAAACGCTGGACAAAACATCACCAACAACACAGTGACGTCTCTCAACAAACGCTGGACAAAACATCACCAACAACACAGTGACGTCTCTCAAAAAAACGCTGGACTAAACATCACCAACAACACAGTGTCGTCTATCATCAAACGCTGCACACAACATCACCAACAACACAGTGACGTCTCTCAACAAACGCTGGACAAAACATCACTAACAACACAGTGACGTCTCTCAACAACGCTGGACAAAACATCACTAACAACACAGTGACGTCTCTCAACAACGCTGGACAAAACATCACTAACAACACAGTGACGGCTCTCAACAACGCTTGACAAAACATCACTAACAACACAGTGGCGGCTCTCAACAACGCTGGAGAAAACATCACTAACAACACAGTGACGTCTCTCAAAAAAAAACGCTGGACAAAACATCACAAACAACACAATCACGTCTCTCAACAAAGCTAGACTAAACAACACCAACAACACAGTGACGGCTCTCAACAAACGCTGCACAAAGCATAACCAAAAACACAGTGACGTCTATCATCAAACGCTGCACACAACATCACCAACAACGCAGTGACGTCTCTCAACAAACGCTGGACAAAACATCACCAACAACACAGTGACGTCTCTCAACAGACGTTAGACAAAACATCACCAACAACACAGTGACGTCTCTCAACAGACGTTAGACAAAACATCACCAACAATACAGTGACGTCTTGTGCTATGAGGGACTGGAGCTGTGAGTGGCTGGAGCTATAAGGGGCATGAGCTGTCGGGTGCTGGAGCTGTGCAGTGCTGGAGCTATGAGGGGCTGGAGCTATGGGGGCTGGAGATATGGGGGGCTGGAGCTATGGGGGGCTGGAGATATGAGGGGCTGGAGCTGTGCAGTGCTGGAGCTATGGGGGCTGGAGATATGAGGGGCTGGAGATATGAGGGGCTGGAGCTGTGAGGGGCTGGAGCTGTGCAGTGCTGGAGCTATGGGGGCTGGAGCTATGGGGGCTGGAGCTGTGAGGGGCTGGAGCTTTGGGGGCTGGAGCTATGATGGGCTGGAGATATGAGGGGCTGGAGCTGTGAGGGGCTGGAGCTGTGAGGGGTTGGAGGTATGAGGGGCTGGAGCTATGGGGGCTGGAGCTGTGTGTGGTTGGAGCTATGAGAGGCTGGAGCTATGAGGGGCTGGAGCTGTGTGTGGCTGGAGCTATGAGGGGACGGAGCTATGAGGGGTTGGAGCTATGAGGGGTTGGAGCTATGAGGGGCTGGAGCTGTGTGTGGCTGGAGTTATGAGGGGCTGGAGCTAAACAACACCAACAACACAGTGACGGCTCTCAACAAACGCTGCACAAAGCATAACCAAAAACACAGTGACGTCTATCATCAAACGCTGCACACAACATCACCAACAACACAGTGACGTCTCTCAACAAACGCTGGACAAAACATCACCAACAACACAGTGACGTCTCTCAACAGACGTTAGACAAAACATCACCAACAATACAGTGACGTCTTGTGCTATGAGGGACTGGAGCTGTGAGTGGCTGGAGCTATAAGGGGCATGAGCTGTCGGGTGCTGGAGCTGTGCAGTGCTGGAGCTATGGGGGCTGGAGATATGAGGGGCTGGAGCTATAAGGGGCATGAGCTGTCGGGTGCTGGAGCTGTGCAGTGCTGGAGCTATGAGGGGCTGGAGCTATGGGGGCTGGAGATATGAGGGGCTGGAGCTATGGGGGGCTGGAGATATGAGGGGCTGGAGCTGTGCAGTGCTGGAGCTATGGGGGCTGGAGATATGAGGGGCTGGAGCTATAAGGGGCGTGAGCTGTGGGGTGCTGGAGCTGTGCAGTGCTGGAGCTATGAGGGGCTGGAGCTATGAGGGGCTGGAGCTATGAGGGGTTGGAGCTATGGGGGCTGGAGATATGAGGGGCTGGAGCTATGAGGGGTTGGAGCTATGAGGGGCTGGAGCTATGGGGGCTGGAGATATGAGGGGCTGGAGCTATAGGGGGCAGGACATATGAGGGGCTGGAGCTGTGCAGTGCTGGAGCTATGGGGGCTGGAGATATGAGGGGCTGGAGCTGTGCAGTGCTGGAGCTATGGGGGCTGGAGATATGAGGGGTTGGAGGTATGAGGGGCTGGAGCTATGGGGGCTGGAGATATGAGGGGCTGGAGCTATGGGGGCTGGAGATATGAGGGGCTGGAGCTATGGGGGCTGGAGATATGTGGGGCTGGAGCTGTGCAGTGCTGGAGCTATGGGGGCTGGAGATATGAGGAGCTGGAGCTGTGCAGTGCTGGAGCTTTGGGGGCTGGAGCTATGATGGGCTGGAGATATGAGGGGCTGGAGCTGTGAGGGGCTGGAGCTGTGAGGGGTTGGAGGTATGAGGGGCTGGAGCTATGGGGGCTGGAGCTGTGTGTGGTTGGAGCTATGAGAGGCTGGAGCTATGAGGGGCTGGAGCTGTGTGTGGCTGGAGCTATGACGGGCTGGAGCTATGAGGGGACGGAGCTATGAGGGGTTGGAGCTATGAGGGGCTGGAGCTATGGGGGCTGGAGATATGAGGGGCTGGAGCTATGGGGGGCTGGAGATATGAGGGGCTGGAGCTGTGCAGTGCTGGAGCTATGGGGGCTGGAGATATGAGGGGCTGGAGCTGTGCAGTGCTGGAGCTATGGGGGCTGGAGATATGAGGGGCTGGAGCTATAAGGGGCATGAGCTGTGGGGTGCTGGAGCTGTGCAGTGCTGGAGCTATGAGGGGCTGGAGCTATGGGGGCTGGAGCTATGAGGGGTTGGAGCTATGGGGGGCAGGACATATGAGGGGCTGGAGCTGTGCAGTGCTGGAGCTATGGGGGCTGGAGATATGAGGGGCTGGAGCTGTGCAGTGCTGGAGCTATGAGGGGCTGGAGCTATGGGGGCTGGAGATATGAGGGGCTGGAGCTATGGGGGGCAGGACATATGAGGGGCTGGAGCTGTGCAGTGCTGGAGCTATGGGGGCTGGAGATATGAGGGGCTGGAGCTGTGCAGTGCTGGAGCTATGGGGGCTGGAGCTATGGGGGCTGGAGCTGTGCAGTGCTGGAGCTATGGGGGCTGGAGCTATGGGGGCTGGAGCTATGGGGGCTGGAGATATGAGGGGCTGGAGCTGTGGGGGCTGGAGATATGAGGGGCTGGAGCTGTGCAGTGCTGGTTTTATGGGGGCTGGAGATATGAGGAGCTGGAGCTGTGCAGTGCTGGAGCTTTGGGGGCTGGAGCTATGATGGGCTGGAGATATGAGGGGCTGGAGCTGTGAGGGGCTGGAGCTGTGAGGGGTTGGAGGTATGAGGGGCTGGAGCTATGGGGGCTGGAGCTGTGTGTGGTTGGAGCTATGAGAGGCTGGAGCTATGAGGGGCTGGAGCTGTGTGTGGCTGGAGCTATGAGGGGACGGAGCTATGAGGCGCTGGAGCTATGAGGGGTTGGAGCTATGAGGCGCTGGAGCTATGAGGGTTGGAACTACATGTATGTAGGACTGGAACTATGAGGGGCTGGAGATATGAGGGGCTGGAGCTATGAGGGGTTGTAGTTTGCGTGGAGCTGGAGCAGCGAGGGTTTGGAGTAGTAGGGGACTGTAGTTGTTTAGTACTGGAGTTGCGAGAGGCTAGAGGACAGAGGAGCTGGATAAGCGAGGGGAGGGACATTTTGGGAATAGTGACACTATGAAGACCTGTGAATGAGCGAGATGTTAATCAGGTGACCAATCACAACTGGTCCTTGGTTTTCGACTGCCACAGACACCAGAGCAGAAGGTTGTATATAATATTTACATATACACAGGAGTCAAGCAGGACATCAGAAGGTTAATCGTCTGAAGTTCATGTCTGTACACACAGTATTGTCTCCAGTTGTGGAGATATGAATGCCAGATCATGTATTGTTGATAAGAACCGACAGCAATGGCAGGATATATATATACTACCTCTATACAACGCCCTGTACTGCACGGAGAACACGTGCAGAGATGGTTGAGGCGAGGGACGGAGGGAGATGGTATCTGACTGAATGAAGAGCTTTCCATGGTATCTGACCGAGCGAAAGGGATTTTAATGGTATCCGACCGAACGAAAGGGCTTCTTGTGGTATCTGGTAGAGCGAAAGGGTTTTCTATGATATATGGTCGAGCGAAAGGGCTTTCTGTATCTATATGATATCTGACCGAGCGAAGAGCTTCCTATGGTATCTGACCGAGCACAAGGGCTTTCTATAGCATCTGCCTGGTGGAAAAAGGGCTTTCTGTGGTATCTGACCGAGCGAATAACTTTCTATGATATCTAACTGAGCGAAGGTGGCTTTCTATGGTATCTTAACCGCGCGAAAGGGCTCCTTATGGTATCTGTTCGAGCGAAAGGGCTTTCTTTTGTATCTGGTCGAGTGAAGGGCTTTCTTTGGTATCTGGTCGAGTGAAGGACCTTCTTTGGTATCTGGTCCAGCGAAGGTCTTTCTTTGGTATCTGGTCCAGCAAAGGGCTCTCTTTGGTATCTGGTCGAGTAAAGTCTTTCTTTGGTATCTGGTCGAGTAAAGTCTTTCTTTGGTATCTGGTCGAGTGAAGTCTTTCTTTGGCATCTGGTCGAATAAAGTCTTTCTTTGGTATCTGGTCCAGCAAAGGGCTTTCTTTAGTATCTGGTCGAGTGAAGTTTTCTTTGGTATCTGGTCCAGCGAAGGGCTTTCTTTGGTATCTGGTCGAGTGAAGTCTTTCTTTGGTATCTGGTCGAGTAAAGTCTTTCTTTTGTATCTGGTCCAGCGAAGGGCTTTCTTTGGTATCTGGTCGAGTGAAGTCTTTCTTTGGTATCTGGTCGAGTAAAGTCTTTCTTTGGTATCTGGTCCAGCGAAGGGCTTTCTTTGGTATCTGGTCGAGTGAAGTCTTTCTTTGGTATCTGGTCGAGTAAAGTCTTTCTTTGGTATCTGGTCGAGTAAAGTCTTTCTTTGATATCTTGTCCAGCGAAGGGCTTTCTTTGGTATCTGGTCGAGTAAAGTCTTTCTCTGATATCTGGTCGAGTAAAGTCTTTCTTTGATATCTGGTCGAGTAAAGTCTTTCTTTGATATCTGGTCCAGGGAGGGCTTTCTTTGGTATCTGGTCGAGTAAAGTCTTTCTTTGATATCTGGTCGAGTAAAGTCTTTCTTTGATATCTGGTCCAGCGAAGGGCTTTCTTTGGTATCTGGTCGAGTAAAGTCTTTCTTTGGTATCTGGTCGAGTAAAGTCTTTCTTTGGTATCTGGTCGAGTAAAGTCTTTCTTTGATATCTGGTCCAGCGAAGGGCTTTCTTTGGTATCTGGTCGAGTAAAGTCTTTCTTTGGTATCTGGTTCAGCGAAAGGCTTTCTTTGGTATCTGGTCGAGTGAAAGGCTTTATTTGGTATCTGGTCCAGCGAAGGGCTTTCTTTGGTATCTGGTCGATGGAAGGGCTTTCTTTGGTATCTGACGCAGCAAGGAAGATTGCAGAACCAAACTATCTCTTCATTTCTAACATTACAAAAGAAAATCTAACCTTCGTCACTCACCAGTGTATAACCAGACTATATCTTCTTCACTCACAATGGCAAAACCAGTGTACACGTCATCATTCACATCATACTTTACTTCATCACTGACATCTTATAACCAGACTATATATACTTCATCACTGACATCTTATAACCAGACTATATATACTTCATCACTCACATCTTATAACCAGACTATATATACTTCATCACTCACATCTTATAACCAGACTATATATACTTCATCACTCACATCTTATAACCAGACTATATATACTTCATCACTCACATCTTATAACCAGACTATATATACTTCATCACTCACATCTTATAACTAGACTATATATACTTCATCACTCACATCTTATAACTAGACTATATATACTTCATCACTCACATATTATAACTAGACTATATACTTCATCACTCACATCTTGAAACTAGACTATATATACTTTATCACTGACATCTTATAACCAGACTATATATACTTCATCACTCGCATCTTATAACCAGACTATATATACTTCATCACTCACATCTTATAACCAGACTATATATACTTCATCACTCACATCTTATAACCAGACTAAACATACTTCATCACTCACATCTTATAACTAGACTATATATACTTCATCACTGACATCTTATAACCAGACTATATGTACTTCATCACTCACATCTTATAACCAGACTATATATACTTCATCACTCACACCTTATAACCAGACTATATATACTTCATCACTCACATCTTATAACTAGATTATATATACTTCATCACTCACATCTTATAACCAGACTATATATATATATATATTTCATCACTGACATCTTATAACCAGACTATATATACTCCATCACTCACATCTTATAACCACACTATATATAGTTCATCACTCACATCTTATAACTAGATTATATATACTTCATCACTCACATCTTATAACCAGACTATATATACTTCATCACTCACATCTTATAACTAGATTATATATACTTCATCACTCACATCTTATAACTAGATTATATATACTTCATCACTCACATCTTATAACTAGATTATATATACTTCATCACTCACATCTTATAACCAGACTATATATACTTCATCATTCACATCTTATAACCAGACTATATATACT